ATAGTATTTATATATAATATATAATAGATTTTTTTTCTGTATTCGCAACGTCTATATATCTTAATAGTTCTCGCAATTTCTTTCCCTCTATTGCAAAGACCTACGATTAATTATTAAACATTCGTAGCTCGTCAACGTACTGCAAGAATGTGTGTTCGTCTCGTTACGTTTAATGTTAATAACAGAATTATGTACCGCTTCTTTCTTCTATCGAAAACAATAGTGCTGTGCTTCCATGATCGAGTGCAAATAAAAGTGCCATTACTGGTACAATATATATATACGTATATATACATACACATACATACATACGCATATGTATATAAACATACACACGCTTGTATATCGCAATAACATTACGGTGACGGTGAATTATCTAAAGCTCACTTGCATTATCTCCATCTTTAAAGTGTTAATAAGAACGTGTAAGTAAGAAGAATAATGCAGGTGGACACGTGTGTGTATCTGTGTATGTGTGCGTGTGTTCCTTATTCAAGACGCCTGGGTTCTCGCGCGCTGTTCCTCTCCATAGGTTGATATTAAACCGCGAATTTCATTCGCAGGTGACAAAAAGGTTCGCAATGGACGTTCTGGCAATAGACAGGGAGAACAGACAGAACATTTCCATCGATCACGCGAAGTGTAGCCTACTCGCCCGCCAACACGCGAATAAAATTTATAGATTCAACTATGGTAAATATAAATAAGTCTATCCGCCAGAACACCGTGACAATATACATATACATATGTATATACACATATATATACACACACGTATATCGCGTATCATCGTTGCGCTCAACTTGAAACGAATAAAAGTGGAAACGTGTATTAGAAAGGCGTCGCGTTAATTGCCGCGTTAATTGTCGCAAGCTATAGCATTCCAACGCTCGAATAAAATATCCGCATTACGAAAAATACAAATAGACTCGCATTTGTCCGGCTATCGCGTGTTTCACAACGTGTTACTGTGTGGTTTCCATTAAAGCCTAACGCACCTTACCGCGCTAACTAGTTACCCGATGTTAAAATTAAAAATAAAATAAACGTTACTTGACGATGACAGTAATAATTATAATTATCAATAATATTAGAGCTATTACAATAATGGTATAAAACTAAAACGTAAGAAGTAAGGGTAGTCACAATGCATGGAAAGTGAAGAAAAGAAAAATAAAAAGAGGAAAAAAAAGAAAAAAAAAAAAAGAGTAGAAAGAAGAAAGTGCGACCATTCTCGATTGCTTTTGCACACACGTGGATTTCTAGAAATTTCTTCGTCGTTATTTTTTTTTTTTTGTTTTTTTTTTGTTTTTTTCATTTTTTCCTTTTCCCTTTAAGACCCATCGGTGCGTGCCGCATAAACGTAACCTTGTCTTTTTCACAAAATAGAAACAATCCTCCACCGACGAATTGCATACGATGCCCATTTTTCTTTTTCCCCTATTTTCCCCCATAAATATCGATCACATGTACGCAGATCACCAACACGAATCGCAAATTCGTACACAATTTATTCGCAACTATGTCAAATATTGGCCATTTCTTTTTCTTCCCCCGCCCCCCTCTCTCTTTCTCTCTCTCGCTGGAAATCAGTGTGCTTCTCTTTCTCGTATGCATAATATCAATATAGCGAATGTTGTCTATATAACAATGATTAATTGGACGCAAGAAACAGGATTGTGCGCGAATACAAATGTCGTGCCCTAGCTGAGAGGTGTCGCTGTTCTTCCATTACGCTTACGCAGTTTCGTTATTACACACACATATATATATATATATACATATATATATATATATCCTTTTTTTTCACATTTTTCTTGTTGCTTTTTTCTCCATTTAAATACCGACTACGAGTACGAGCTTGGTCTGCAAGAGAGAAGCTCGGGAGAGTCTCTCCGGAGTCGCGTGAAAGAAATCGCACGCGGCTGCACGCTCCCTCTCGCGTAATATATCTCTCTTTATATATAATCTTTTAAATAGATCTCTGACAACCATCAGCATCATTCCGAGACATACACACCGCTAACATCCACGCTCATTTGCTCTCATAACACCGATGCGGAAGACCAAAATACTGCTTTCCGTTCGGTATCCGTTCGAAGGTTCTCGCAACGAATATTTCGGGAGCATCGCAGAAAAAGGAAGAGACAGGCCGGTCGCAATTGTGACAGTAAGAACACCGATTCCTATGTATCTACTCTAAGCCAGGTGACATAGGTGCGCTGTACAGGGGGCGTTGTCGGAGTTCATTTTGCTCGACGTTGTCGACACGTATCTCTAATTTCCAGCTAATCACACTTATGGGGATTTTCGTAGACGATTATGCGAATCGGCGAGCGTGTTCCTTTTCCTCCTTTGCTCCTGTTTTATTACTTTAGAATAGATACGGAGGGATAGTATGACGCATTGTTCCTACGAACGATTCGTGAAACTTCGTTTGCATTGGTTCTGCTCGACTGCGTGAACGGTGTTCGAATATATCCCCAAAGAGTTATGGGTATGTCTATGGTGTATCGTGTGTAGGTGTATGTGTGTGTGTAGTCGTGTGTAGGTGTATGTGTGTGTGTAGTCGTGTGTAGGTGTACGTGTGTGTGTGTAGTCGTGTGTAGGTGTGTGTGCGTGTAGTCGTGTGTAGGTGTAGGTGTGTGTATAAATTTGTGTTTCGTTCAACTATTTCTACTCTCTGCGGTGTCCCAACACCGAAAAAAGAAAACTTGTTAACAATGTATCAAATAATAGATTTCTTTCAGATTTTTAAACGAACGAATGAACGAAAAAAGTATAATATAATATAATAT